ATCAAGGAAATTGTGAAGAAGCATTCTCAGTTCATCGGCTATCCTATTACACTCTTTGTATGTACCTTGCTTGGAATGTTAATTTAAATACTGCTACCTTAAAACAAGTGAAGTTTGACATTTGAGAGAGCAAGCCATGTATATTTTGTCAAGTAAAATTGATACATATCTTACATGGATGTAGCTCTTTTGAAATGCAATTCTGTTAATTATAACTACAAAACTAAGTAAAAAATGTGTTTTTTAAGTAGTATCACAATCTGCAAAACCTTGAGTAAATTAACTACATCTTGACATTGTTAGTGGAAATTCAGTGTAATGAAATTAAATAGCATAAAATGCAACATAAGCATGTGGAAACAAAATGCTGCTTGTGTTTCAGCACCCAGAATGTAACTCCTTAGTTGAGTCTAGGATGAAAACTTGACACCATGTTTGTAAAGCTTTGTGAGACTACAAGGAGTACCTTAGGGCTGTGTTAATGATAAACTTGTAAGTTCCTCAATTCAACTAGCGATCTCTTTTGTAGGTGGAGAAGGAACGTGATAAGGAAGTGAGTGATGATGAGGCTGAGGAAAAGGAAGAGGAAAAAGAAGAGAAGGAGGAAAAAGCCGAAGATAAGCCAGAGATTGAGGATGTTGGTTCTGATGAAGAAGAAGAAAAGAAAGATGGAGATAAGAAGAAGAAAAAGAAGATTAAGGAGAAGTACATTGATCAGGAAGAGCTCAACAAGACCAAGCCCATTTGGACCAGGAACCCAGATGACATTACCAACGAAGAATATGGGGAATTCTACAAGAGTCTGACTAATGACTGGGAAGACCACTTGGCTGTGAAAGTAAGTTCTTGTATTTCTTTAGCCACTAAAGCTGGAAGCTTGTTAAACATGTTACTGAACTTGGATCCCCACTCTGTCAGATGTTACTGTGATAACTTGCTTAGTATTTGGAGTGATACTGTTGCTTCCAGCACTTCCACTGTGTGATGGTGACACTTTGTGCTACAGTTATTCTGGCTACTGTTGTTACAGCTGTGGTTATAACCTCAATCAAGTCCATACCTCGGTTTATTGTAAATAAAAGCAAGCGCAGATGCCTTCCCAGTTTGTAACTTAGTTGATGCCAAATTTAATTAAAAAATATAAAGTAGATTTCAAATAAATTGCATTATTTGGGTTTAGTAGCTTAGTTTTGAAAAGGCCTACGTTTAAAGGTGGATGGATAAGTGAGCAGTAATCGTCCTTTTTGTGTGTCTGTAGTGGGAAGTGCTGTAAGAATACACATGCTTCCCGAAGTATATAATATATACTCAGGGAACTGTATATAATATATTCTCAGGGAACTGAGAATGCGTTCTGACTTGGTCTAATTCTCTGGTGACATCTCAATGGAACTTAGATATGTGGGTGTATAGAAAATGCTTGTTCCTGATGAATGTCTTGGCTATCTTGGCTACTGTGGTTTTTTCTGAAATCTCTGATGGTTTTTGCCTTCTGCATTTGAAAATCTGTGAAAGGGTTACTAAAGTGAGAGCCGTACAAACTGATTGAAATGATAATCTTGCTTTCTCACAGCACTTCTCTGTGGAAGGGCAGTTGGAATTCAGAGCTCTCCTGTTTGTCCCACGGCGTGCACCCTTTGATCTGTTTGAAAACAGGAAGAAGAAGAACAACATTAAGCTGTATGTACGCAGAGTTTTCATCATGGACAACTGTGAGGAACTGATCCCTGAATATCTGAGTGAGTACATTTTTGGGGAGAACGTTTCCCAGAATATTACAGAAACTGCTTAGTGACTTTGTAGTTTACTAGAAATGTAGGAGGCAGGGGGGAGACTGAGCTGATCAGGAGGAAGTATCTAGGCAGTTAAAGAAAGTACTGCTTAGTTGGTGTTGCCTTGAATTCTACAGAAACCAATTCATAAGAGTGCAAAGCCACCTAGGTCGTGAACACTTAATTTGAGACCTGAAAAGCTAATTCTCACCATTGTCTTGCAGATTTCATGAGAGGTGTGGTAGACTCCGAGGATTTACCTCTGAATATTTCTCGTGAAATGCTGCAGCAAAGCAAGATCCTGAAAGTGATCCGGAAGAACTTAGTGAAGAAGTGCTTGGAACTTTTCACTGAGTTGGCTGAAGACAAAGAGAACTACAAGAAGTTCTATGAGCAGTTCTCAAAGAACATCAAGGTTTGTGGTCTTTCTGCTTAATGGCACTGACTGTAGTTCAGTGATTTCTGAAATAGTAAACTACCATAGTTTAGTATTTAGCTAAAGGTATAACTTAATAGTTTTTATTTCCTCTTATACTTTTGTAGCTTGGTATACATGAAGACTCCCAGAACCGCAAGAAGCTTTCAGAATTACTGAGGTATTACACGTCTGCATCTGGTGATGAAATGGTTTCTCTGAAGGACTACTGCACTCGGATGAAGGAAAACCAGAAACATGTCTACTACATTACTGGTGAGTTGGTAACAGAAGCTGTCTGTGAATGTTGCAGGTACATATGTTAGGATTATCTTTTTGGGGTTTAGAAAATGGAAAATAAACATGGCGGTTCTCTTGGTGAATTTAGAAAGAAATAAACTGGGATTCTAAGCAGAAAAAATCTTATGTAATTAAACAGTTAGATATTCAGCCTTGAAGTTGCAGTGCTACCCAGAACATTGAGGTGTCAGTTGAGTACATGATAGAGAAATCTTTGCATGTCTCCTGAGAAGACAGAACTTGCTGTGTAACTTGTCCCAAATCTGTAGCGCTACAGTATTTCTGAAATGAGTGCTGCAGTGTTAAAACCACGGAAAGTAAAATTGTAGTTGTGGTTCCTTAAGAAGGTACAATGTCCATGAGGCTGGCAGAACTAGCTACTTTCTCTACTGTAAATTCTGCTCTTGCAAACTTGCTGGGCATGCTGCTCACAACGTTAACATTCCCTCTCGATGAAACAGACTGCTTCAGTACTAAATGCCATCGTTGGGGACTGTGTGTATCACGTATATGAGTTACAGTAAAATAATGGTTTTCAATTATTACCTTGCCCTTGAAACACAACGTTCAGTGCCACTGCTGCTACCTTGAAGGTTTAGGAGAACCCAGTTTAAGGTTGTAAAGTAACCCATGCACAGCTAGCTTAGCCACCTTTTTTTTCTTTTTTTTTTTTTTTTCCTACTGTAAACCCAGGAAGTGTGCTGCAGAGTCTTCAAGGTGCCTTTAATTCAAAGATAGCTTTGTGTTCTGGCCTCAGCTAATAAAGTTGGCCAGAAGACTCTTGACATTTTCAGACCTAATGCTCAAACCAATTTAACTGTTTTTAAGTATCAGATTTTAAGGCTTTTTTTCAAAAGGTAAAGGAGGCTGTACAGAGATTCTCAGTTTTCCTCTTTGGCAGAAGTGGCAAATGTTTCTTACCTGGCATTCCAGGAAATGGAAATGTACTTTCAAACCAGTGAAGTATTAGTGGTGTCAGTTTGAAAGGCTTGAGTCTTTTCATGCCAGCCTAATCTTTGCTGTAGCTTGCTTGTCCTACCTGTTCAGCTCCCCTTTTTTTCCCTGGTCCAGACATCATACATCAATGGAAATGTTGCATAGGCTCTTGGGAAAGTAAAACAAGCTGCCATGTTACAGTGCTGAGGCTCAAACCACAACTGTGGCATTCTTGTTTCTTGCAGGTGAAACAAAAGATCAGGTGGCCAACTCCGCGTTCGTGGAGCGTCTTCGCAAACATGGCCTGGAAGTGATCTACATGATTGAGCCTATTGATGAATACTGTGTGCAGCAGCTGAAGGAATTTGAAGGCAAGACCCTGGTCTCTGTAACAAAAGAGGGGCTGGAGCTTCCAGAAGATGAGGAAGAGAAAAAGAAGCAGGAGGAGAAGAAAGCCAAGTTTGAAAACCTTTGCAAGATAATGAAAGATATCCTTGAAAAGAAAGTAGAAAAGGTAATCAGTAGTACTCAGTTTCTCTGTATGTAACAAGTTGTTTAATGATCTGAAATGAAGTTGCTGCAGAGAAGGCTCAGATAACAATGTCTGTTACAATTGCCTTTTCTGAAAGATGGCAATTGCTCTGCAGGATACAGTTTCATAGATACAAGGTGTCTTTGTTTTGATTTTTAATGAAGCCAAGTGGTTCTGTGGAGTTCTTCAGCTCTGTCTCATGAGTCATGGGTCTTCCATGACATGCAGCAGTATTTTAAAGTTGAACCTTGGTTTACAGTTGGACTTGATCTTAAAGGTCTTTTTCAACCTAAATGATTAGCAAGGATAGTAAGGTGTGTACGTGATGAAATGTTAAATTACAAACTCTTGTTTTATGTTCACTCTTCTAGGTTGTTGTGTCCAATCGTTTAGTTACTTCTCCATGCTGTATTGTAACAAGTACATATGGCTGGACTGCCAATATGGAGAGGATCATGAAAGCGCAGGCATTGAGAGACAACTCCACAATGGGATACATGGCAGCAAAGAAACATCTGGAGATTAATCCTGATCATTCCATCATTGAAACACTGAGGCAGAAGGCAGAGGCTGATAAGAATGACAAGTCTGTGAAGGATCTTGTCATCTTGCTGTACGAGACAGCACTTCTGTCCTCTGGCTTCAGTTTAGAAGATCCTCAGACACATGCCAACCGCATTTATAGAATGATCAAACTTGGTCTGGGTGAGTTAGAAATCTGTTTTGTCTCTAGTAAACTCAGTGTGGTTACAGCCCTTAGGGGGTGCAGAGTGTTCAGAGGTCGTGTTATGTTTTTTTTTGTACTTGTGGAAAAGGGGGAACCCGCAGATGAGTTGAATGGCTAAGGTGAAGAAAGCTTGGAGTTCTAGTATCAGCATTAATGGTATGTGTGTTTCCTGAACAGGCATCGATGAAGATGACACTGCTGCAGAAGAAGCTAGTCCAGCAGTTACTGAGGAGATGCCACCTCTTGAAGGAGATGATGACACATCACGCATGGAGGAGGTGGATTAAAACAGTTTACAGGAACTCATGAATGTTTCCTTGGCTAATATGAATAAGTTATATTTTGTATATTATGAATGTTACCTGCCAAAAAAAAAAATCTTTGACACTTTGTCTGCATTCCCTCTTTATATTTATTTTCAAAGATGTTATACCTTTATTTTTGTTACATTGCTTTTTCAGCTGACGTGAGATACAAATGCCATTGAGGGAATATTTTCTTTAACACTGTACAACCCTAAACAGGCAAGTAAGGAGTAGTTATTTTTGTCTGTATTAGCTGGTTGCAGGTGGCAGGGTTTTTGACTTATTCTTAATTGCCAGAAATGTGAGAAAGGACTAACAAAGATGGTATGACATCAGGATGTTCAAGTTTGTTTAGCGTTATACAGCTCTTCAACTCTTAAATGTCTAACGTACAGTACCTAGTAACTAGGTATCTATGAGAGCTGAAATACTTGGGGAAGCTTTAACCCTTTTGCTCCTAACAAGGTCTTGATGTTTAAAGTTGTTTTTTATACTGTTTAAGGATTCTGGATTGCACTCTACCATAGAATAGAATCCACTGTAAATCTCTATTGTGACTTATGCAACTCTGCATGTACAGTTCAAACCTAGAACTGTAAGAATAAAAGTGTTAAGAATGAGCTGTGTCACTGACTTGTCTGTTAATGCTGGGAGCAAAGCCCGTTGTTCTTGGTCTTAACTTAGTTGGTGCTTTGGGTCTGGAGTACTAGCTGCTGTCTTGTTAAGTCTCGTGTTGCGTGCTTTGCACTGCTGCTACAAATCAGTACCACATAAAAGCAGAAGTGTCAGGCAGTTCTCAAAGATCTGAAGACAATTTTAATCTGAAAAACTGATTGGTTCTTTTTTTGTTCAAGTTAGGTTGAACTGGTGTTAATAATCGAGCAATTTTTTGGAAGATTTCACAAATTGAAACTAGGCTCCTAAAGCTGCCAGCCTGATTCATCGTGCTGTACTGAGGTGATGAGTTTTGTGTGGGAAGTTAGGTTGTCAGCATTAGGTCGTTTAGACTTTGAAGAAATGGTAGCAGTCTCTTTTCAGGGGATCTTAACCAACTCTTTGCAAGCCAATTGAGAGTAGTAGTTTGTTGCACAAGTTCTGGGTTTGCAATGATACTATGTGTTCCTGTCAAACCAGCCCTCTTTCAGGGGTGGGGGAGTCCAGTTTTACTCTGCAGGCATGGGTAGAGTGGTGGATACACTTAAAGCAGTTCTGCTTTCTGATGAGTTCAGTGGCCTTTTGACAGTAACTTCAAACTGGTGTATCAGTTTAATGGACTGATAGGCTCACATTTTTGCAAATCATTCTGAATTCTTTCTCCAAAATGAAACTTAATTAGGGGATTAGATGCGGAAATAAAACACTGCTTCAGCAGTGCTTACATAATTGCTGAAGGGCTACAGTGCTTGAAGGCTTACGTTTTTTCTGCACTTATGTGTTCTTCAGACCATGCTTGTATTAGATCACTTAAATCTGCTTCAATAGGGGGATACAGTAGTAGCTGAGAGGAAATAGATTCCACTTCCTTTCTCTGCTTCAGAATCTAAGTTTATGAAAGGAAATGCGCCTTTGAAAAAGTACCTTCCTCCCACAGTTCCTGGTTGTTTGTTTGTCACAAAGTTTGTTCCAGCTCTTCTTGGTGACTAGAGGAATTTCTCTGTGACTAGAGGAATTATGGCACCTACAAAACAGCTTGAAGTCATTGGTCATTACATGTGGGGTGTTTGTCTTCCACAGCTGTCATTGTGTCGTGATGTAAAATGTCCAAAATCACTTCAAATGATGGGTGTCTCAAAAAGACTGCAGCAGAGATTGGTGCTTACCATGTTAGTGAAAGTTAAAAGCAAGGTGAAAGTGTGAGCGATACCAAACTATGCAAACAATTCTGCGCAGTGAGGCAAGAGGTTTGGTTCCCCCACACCCCAGCCTGAGGTCTAGGCGAGATCTGCTTCAAACTTCATTGTCACCATTTCATTCTGTTCTAGGTGGCATGACTACGGTGAGATGTTTTCCATTACTTTCTTGTGCCATAGTAACGAATAGTACTGTTGCTATAGCGATGAGTATGACATCAAAACGGATGCAGTCTTCTGGCTTCTCAGAGGAATTGCACAGTTAAAGCCACGTGTACATCAGTACTGGCTGCAGTTTGGTGCATGGGTGACAGGAACAGTGCTCAGAAGGTAAACGCTTCCATCTTAGTGATGCTCCAATGTTAAAAGCTGTCAGGATGACAGATTTCAGTCTCCTTTAGGTAATTTCTCCAAGGTCTCAATGGCAAATAATTTTATCCGGTAGGGATAAAAGCAGGGCTTAAAAGCAGTTGGATTCTGAGATGTGTGTGTCTTGTGACTAAACCCTATTCTACAAGATCTTTTATTATGTGTTAAAAAAAAAAAAAAATTCAGGTGAAACTTGCAGATTATCTCCAGTATTGCTTGCTGTGAGAAGGTGTTGTTCTGAGTTGTTTCCTGCGTTACACTGAGCAGTCAAGAGTGTAGGTGTTGCACAAAGGACACACAGAGCACAGAGCGTGGAGCTCTCCTCATTTGCCAGCTTTGTGCTGAAATACATTTTAGGAAGTAAGGCACCGTTACCAAAAGTTGTCTTGCTCAGCTGCCTGTTGTAGCAGTTCCCAGTCTTTGTTTCTCATGTTTCATACTGGTTTAACAGTAGATGGAGTGTTGCAGGGCACTGCAGTGGAGTGTTCAGGAAAGGCTGGGTGCCCTAATAACACCTTCACTTCTTTTCAGGGCTCTTAGACCTTGCAGCAAGGCTGGTGGTGCAGTACTGCTTGGGGCGTTACAGGTTTATTTCTTCTAAGCAGAAATGCACAACCAAGTTCAGCAAAGGGTTGAGTACCAAGATTAAAATATGTTTCTCCTTACTGTAGGAGAGTGGAGCCAACTAAATAAGTGATTACAGTAACACTAGGCGCAGCTTGGTGTTATGCTCTCTCCTTGCCTCTTGGTTTAGAGCTTAGACAGGTGACAATTAGAGGTTTCATTGAAGTTCATCAGAACATTTTCCTATTGATAATAATCTTTTTGAAATCACACCAGGATTAAGGCACTGGGATACTGAATTCAGAAGTTCTTGGTTCTGCTGTTCTCTCCAAAGGAAACTGCTCCATATGTGCGTTGGATTTTTGAACCTTAGGAGCTAAAGCGCTGGTGCCCCCTTTGCCCTGATGAAAGGCTCCCACCATTGTGTGCTGTACAGTCCCAATTTTGGATGGCAGCAGAGGAGAAAAATGGCTTTTGTTGAACAGAAATTGCAACAGCCAATTGAATCTGATAGATTTCCAAATGTAACATGGAAAGGAGCAGAAGAAGTACATTCGTAAAATTCTGTGCTGTGATGAATGAGGGGGAACTGGATTTGTTTTTGAAATAAATGCATCTAGAATGTGCTATTGATAGCCCACATATGTGAACCCTGTTACTACAGCGTTCATGGCTAGTGATGTGTTTTGCCAATGAAGAGAATTTTTTCAGCTATTTTGCATTCAATTACAGCTGCCTATGAAATGTTCATTTAGTCACTCTTAATTTGTATTTGGAGGCCTTAATTTGTCAGTGGAAGCTTTGGCAAATAGATCATTTCAGATGGTCTTCTGCCTGTGTGTAAATTAAACTTTTCTCATAGCAGGATTTGCTTAATAGTGAGGGCATCCTAAAGAAAGGGTCACCTGAATTTCAGATCTGTGTGTTTCTCATACCTTATAATGTAGTGATGTTTTTTAAGTGTTCTTTATTTTCAACAAAGCAAACCTTACCTAGGAAACATCTGAATAAGTCATACTGGACAATGAAAAATTATTTTAGACAGAGATTTAGTTTTGTGCTAGCAAATTGTGTAAACCATTGTATTTTTTAAAATTAAGGCTAAAAAGAAGAAATGGTGAATAAAACGCCAACCAAAGTATGGCTGGTCCAAGGAGGAGCAGATGTATCAGGGGAGCATTCAGTATCCATAGCAGCAGCGGTGTGAAGAGGAGACGAAGACGTGCGTTCTTTCATACCAAGGTGCTGTTTCAGTGGGGTGATCATAGAATTGTAGAATGGTTTAGGTTGGAAGGGACCTTAAAGATCATCAAGTTCTAACCCCCCTACCATGGGCAGGGACACCTCCCACTAGACCAGGTTGCTCAAAGCCCCATCCAGCCTGGCCTTGAACACCTCCAGGGATGGAGCATCCAACTTCTCTGGGCAACCTGTGTCAGTGTCTCACCACCCTCAAAATGAAAAATTTATTCCTACTATCTAATCTAAACCTGCCCTCTTCCGGTATGAAGCTGTTCCCCCTCATCCTATCACTATGTGCCCTTGTAAAAAGTCCTTTCCCGCCTCTCCTGTAGGCCCCCATTAGGTACTGGAAGGGGTTATAAGGTCTCCCTGGAGCCTTCTCTTCTCCAGGCTTAACAACCGCAACTCTCTCAGCCTGTCTTCATAGGAGAGGTGCTCCAGCCCTCTGATCATCTTTGTGGCCCTCCTCTGGACCCGCTCCAACAGGTCCGTGTCCTTCTTATGTTGGGGACTCCAGAGCTGGACTCCAGGCAGGGTCTCACAAGAGCAGAGTAGGGCAGAATCCCTTCCCTCAACCTGCTGGCCACACTTCTGATGCAGCCCAGGATACAGTTGGCTGCCTGGGCTATGAGCACATATTGCTGGCTCATGTCCAGCTTTTCCTCTCCAATACCCCAAAATCCTTCTCAGCAGGGCTTCTCTTAACCCATTCATCCCCAGGTGGTATTGATACCAGGGATTGCCATGACCCAGGTGCAGGACCCTGCACCTGGCCTTGTTGATCAGCATTCCACTGTCCATGTCGCCAACAAAGATGTTGAACAGCACAGGTCCCAGCACCAACCCCTGAGGAACACCACTCGTAACTGGTCTCCACTTGGACATCGAGCCATTGAGGAAGAGGAGGGTGTGGAGCAGAGGGCTTTACACTGCACAGGGTTCTCCTGATTTGAACCATTAGCCAAGCGTTTCACTATTGGTGCTTTAAAATGCACAAGTATGGTTTCCAAGTATATTTCACTATGTCATTTTTTCTTACCTATTTATGACTGGTTGTACACGGTACTGTTGAGTTGCTTTCCCGTATCAGAAAAAAAAAAGTCTGTAATAGTTTTAAAGAAGAAAAAAACCTTTTTTTTTTTTGAGGATAGGCCTTTTCAAGTAGTCTTCCACTAGTTTTTCCTGAAGCAGTATTTAAAAAGCTGTTAACAGGCTTCTGTTGCAAAATAGAAGTCACATAAAAACATGTAGAATGGTTTATGAAAGGAGAACGGTGATAGTCTCTCCTGCAGAGTGCCACTGGGGGTTGCGCTCTGCTTGCTAAAATGCTCTCCAGCGTTGTTGCTTTGCTTTTGCTGGCCCCTGCAGCAGGCAGTTTTGGGCGCTGGAAGTCTGCGGGAAACCTCCCACCCAGGTATCTCCATGATTCCCTTGGTGGGAAATGGACCCGGCAGCACAGAACTCATCTTGCTTATTTGGAGTCATTTTATTTTAGTTTTCAGGTGTTTATTGTGGTTGCTCAGAAGATGGATCACTGCGCGCAGACTGCAGTATGAATTTCACTAGTGGTAAAGGTCAGAAAAGAATTAAAACTC